AAAAAAAAAAAAAAAAAAAAGATTAAAGAAAACAGATATATTAATGAAAAGAAACAAAACAAAATCTGCGTTATATTACCGCTTCAAAATAGATTATTGCTGCTGAAAAAAAATAACTCTAAAATAGATGCGTAACAATTTTGGTTTTCTGTTTCACTTTTTTCCTTTCAAAGTTAACTGTAAGTACAAATCTATGAGATCAATTCTTCCTCTTTTTCTTAAATTTTATATTGACCTAAATTTATGGCAATTTAAAAAAAGCCAAAGTATTGATAGATTTGAGAGTTTTGTTGTAATGAGAAAAAAGAAGTTTTTGCTTGCAAACTTAGAAAGATCTAAAAAGAAGAAATTTTGAATGATTACTGAAAGTTAGATAAAATATATCAGTTGCGAGTACTGTTGAGAATTGATAAAAACAGTTGACATCAGCAATCCAACTCCTTAGCAGTCAACATTTTACTGGTATATATTTCAGCTGTTAAAACCAATTAAAATAAATTTTATTTGACTGCCTTGAAAAGCTAGACTATGTTAAAGCTAAAATTAACAACTAGACAAGTCTACGAGACTAATCTGTGCGATAGAACCTGACGAGAATAATGATTGTAGCTTTTCCTGTAAAACTGTAAAGATGACAGGTTTACTGAGAACTTTTACTGCTATTTATTAAATAAAATAAATCATTTTTAAGAGAAGAAATTTTTTTTTTGTAATTTTTTCAAATTTTTAATTACAGCAATAAAAAAAAAATTAAAAATTAATAAAATTTTTTTGATTATTACCACTAAAGTGATTAGTAATCTGTCGTTGTCAGAAAAGAAAGAAGTGTGCAAAATAGTTTAGTTGGTTAGCTTTACAAATTATTGAATCATTTAGAAAACAAACTTTGATACGCTTATTATTTTAAAGGTTTTTTTTTGAGTATAATTTTTAAGTGTTATTATAAAAAATAATATTTTGTAGTAATAGTAATCTAACAGAAAAAAGTTTTTTGTAAACCATTTTATTTCTTTACTGTCAAAAAGCCACTGTTCTGTTGTCTGTTATTGATACATTTGGTTAATGGTATTTTAAAGCTTCCAAAATGCATAATTTAATTCTTTTTTTTTTTTGACATACGAGACAACTATTTTGAAGAAGAAATAAAAATTTTTTTTGGGTTGATTTTGAACACAAATAAGAAATGTGTCTGTTGGAAGAAAAAAAAAAAAAGTAAGATAAAATAAAAAGTAAACATGAATATACGTGATTCAGTATTACGGAACAGTGACTGCTTTAAAGTGCTGCAGCAAAATCAATGCTCACTGTGACTGTCAGTCCGACTTCAAAAGTAACTATTTGTCTGTCTGTTGGTGGAAAAACTTCACATAGATTTTTTGCATTCTTTTTTCCTCTTTCTTTTTTTTTTTGATTCTATAAACTTCAACAACATTTATATTTATGCTGCTGTTTATTCTGTTGACACTTTTAGTGTTCAACGCCAACGGTAAGTTTTGAATTTTGAAAATTTAATAAAGAAGAATTCTTTTTTTTTTTTTACTGTTTTGTAACATTGCTTTTTGCTTTTTACACATTCAATGATTCAACAAATGGTAGACGATAATACATAGACTGAAATTACCATCAATAGATTGCAGCTGTAAAGTGCAGTGATGGTTCATTTTATCATTTCAGTAAAATTAGTTATAAAAGTGGGAAAAAACTGAGGAGGAAAATAGATACTCTTAATTTTCAAACACAAAAGTTAATCTTTATAAGCAGTTCGACAACCTTAGCCTCAAATAACCTTACTGCCGTTAGCTTAAGC